TGGAGTTAGGGTGCTAGGGCAAGTGTGCTCATGCTGTGGCCTTAGGGTCACCGTCACGGTGTCAGGTTCAGGGGTCTGGGGTAATGTTCGGGGTAGTTTGCTAGAGTTAGCTGATGTGCAAGGGTTGGTGCGACGAGGGTTAGGGCGCAAGGGAACGAACTAACTCTGTAGAGTTGCAGGCTAGGGTGAAGGTATGCTAGGCTAGGGCTAGGGCATCCGGGTTAGAATTGCTTGGGGCTCATGTGTAGTCTGTGAGGACCTTGGTGGCGTGCTTAGGTTGATGCCGTTAGGGCCAAGTTGTTAGAGCCAAGCTGGTGCGGGTCGGGTTGTGGCGTTATGGGTTGGTTCGGTTCCGGCGTTAGGCTCACAGTGCAACGGCCAGGCAGTATGTTGCGCAGGTGTGTAGCCTGAGTGTTAGGGTGGAAGAATTAGGGTGTCAGGGTTAGGGCTTCTGCTCAGGACTACGGATCGAAAGGTACGGGTTAGGGTGCCAGGGTGACGGTGATAAGGTGTTCGGAAGAAGGGTATGTGATTAAGGCTAGTGCGCTGGAGTCGGGTCGCTAGGGAGGGGGCTAAGATGCTGGAGTTAGGGTGTTCGGGCAAGGGTGCTCAAGCTGTGCTCTTAGGGTCAGCGTTACGGTGCTGGTGTTCGGGCGAATTCTAACAGACAGGTTTCTGGGATTATAATATAAAGTTGAGGGCGCACGGGTGCAAGGGCCAGGGTGCTAGGTCAATTCGTTTAGGGGTCTAGTGTTTGCGCCGATGCGGTAGGGTCAATGTTGCGTTGTCTGGGATAGGGTTAGTGTTCAGGGTCAGGATGCTAGGATTAGCGCTGGGGTGTTAGGGTTATGATGTTCGGGTTGGGTCATTAGGAGTGGGGTGCTGAGCCTCGGGCATCAGGGCGTGAAGATGCTCGAGGTAGGGCGTTAGCGCCAGTGTGACTGCTTATGCAGGGCGAGAGCGCACGGGTGACAACTGGGGCGCCAGGGTTGTGATGTCAGGAGGGTCGAGTAGCATGTGGGAGTTTGATACGGGGTGGCCGTCCTACGTTGTGCGTTCTGGCCCTATTTTTTTCCGCGGGTGCATGCCTAAGCAAAACTCACCCAAACGGAACACACGGAGCGCGATATACATTAGGACGAGGTGGAAACGGAAGAGGAGGAGGAGGATGAGGAGCAGGACGGGCAGGGCGGGAGGAGGAGGAGGAGGAGAAGGCAGAAGAGGAAAAGGAGGAGCATCCACAGCAAAAGGCGGAGTTGGATTTTGAGGAAGAGGGGGCATTGGATGAGGAAGCAATGGGAGAATGAGAGCCAGGATAAGGAAGTGGATGATTCATGATGATGCTGAGGAGGAGATATGATGATGGTGATGATGGTGATGACGATGATGTTGGTGGTGATGCTGATGATGTTGATGAGGATGAGCATGACGATCATGCGGCTGGTGAAGGTGATGATGATGCTGATGATGGAGGTGATGATTATGACGATGGTGATGATGTTGATGCGGATGGTGGTGATGTTGATGATGGCAATGACGGTGATGGTGGTGAAGATGATGCGGCAGATTAGTAAGACGATCATGATGGTGCTGATTGTGATGGTGATGATAATGAGGATGATGAGGGAACAGAGTAAGGACGTTTGATGGTGACGGAGAGGATGGAAAGGAGGATGACAGCGCGGGGATGAGCAAGCGGACAGGCGGTGCAAGCGATTGTGAGATGGAGAGGTGAGAATAAAGTAGGGAGAGTGCGGAGATGATGAGGGAGGACGTGAAACGGGGATGAAACGTACGTACGAGGAGGAATAGGAAGCAGCGACCAGGATACAACATGAATTGACACGATGCGCACATTACAACATGTTTTGGTTGGTGAGGTGGAGAGCGGGAACACGACAAAGAAATCCGAAAACAAAAACGCTGAAACCGTCCAAGCTTCTGTACAGGCTGGCGCCCCTCCGACTCCTCCTCGCCCTCTCAGCATCATCATCAGCATCGTCATCATCAAGCCCTGCCCCGAGGTCTGGGGGCAAGAGGGCCAGTCCTCGCGCCCCCAATTCCATCGCCTTTCTTCGGCGCACTGCGATCGCGATGCACGACCGCCCTCTTGAAATCTGACACGGGCGCGACATGTTGTGCCGCCAGGGAGCTGATGCCTGTGCGACCTCACATTTCGTTCTTCCACCAGCTCGCGCAGACGTGCGAGGATCCGTCACACTCATGCCCGACACGCACAATAGATCAGCATCATAATCCTCCGGGACACGCCGACCGCTCCGCCGCCCAGACTGAGACAGGAGTTCATTGGCTTCCCCACCCAGCGGCACGATGAGAGGTCTGAGGAGAACGAGAAGGAGGCCACGGAAATAGGGCACGAGGAGGAGTATGATTTGCTGAACGAGGAGGGCAACGAAGGAGACGAGTCGAATATCGAGGAGTTTGAAACGGAGTAGGAGAAGGAGGATCCGAACATGCTGATGGAGCAGGTGAAGGAGGTCTCGCAAGTGCGGGAGAAGCTCGACACGTACAAAGCGCTGTGGACGTGCAAGCGTGAGGACGTGACCTACGAAGAGTGCGCCGCCTTCTACAAGTCCCTATCCAATGGCGGGGAGGACCACCTGGCCGTACTTGATGGTTGGCACAATTGTACCAAGCTCGCGGAGATGATGCGCTACCACACCTCGTGGTCAGGGGACGAGAGAATTAGCTTGATGGAATACGTGTGCCGCATGGCGCTGGACCAAAACCACATCTACTACATCTATTGCGCGAGCATCGGTGACGTGGTTTCGTCGCCCATTTTGGAGGCATTGCGACAGCAGGGCGTGGAGGTTCTCATCGTGACTGACCCCGCGGATGCGCACCTCGTGCAGCAGCTGACATAGTCTGACGGCACAAAGCCGATGACCACGATCCAGGCGGGACTCGGCCCGGAGATCGGGGACGTCAAACCATTGTGGAAGCGCAAGCCTGAGGAAGTGACGCACGAGGAGTGCGTCAACTTCTACGAGTCCATCTCACACGGCTCGGAGGACTACCTGTTGGCGAAGCACTTCAGCGCATGGGTGCAGCTGGAGTTCCATGTCGTGCTCTTTGTGTCCCGTCGGTGCCCCGTTGTCCCATTCGACAATCATCAATATGCACGCGCGACGCACCGTTTGTTTGAACGACTACGACGAGCTGATGCCAGAGTGGCTCAGCATCTTTGTGGGCGCGGTCGACTCAGAGGTCCTGCCGACGTATATCGCCTGCGAGCCTCTGGTGCAGCACAAAACGCTCCGAGCGCTCAGCAATTACTCGTCACGGAGTGCCTCCAAATTTTCGAGGGAGCCGCCTGGCAGGATGAAAACTACAGGGAGCTCTTCCTGCACCTGGTGCGGAAGTTTCAGAGGCGGGAGTGGCTTCGGTGGACTCCCCCCGTTGGGGGGGGGGCACGGCCGGGCGGGTGCCCCGCGCGCGCGCCCCTGGTGACGCCGCGCACCGCAGGGAGGCCGAATGCAACGGCCCCCAGAGAGCAGAGCCTTTTGCTCTGAGCGGGGGCGTATCGCCTCGGCACCCCCCTGCGGATCTAGAGGCCTTGGCTTCCGCGTGGGCCACATGTTCAGATGAGCCGCTCTGTAGTTATTCTATGCCCGCGTTGAGGCGGGAGTGGCTTCGGTGGTCTCTCCCCTTCGTGGGAGGGCACGGCGAGGCGGGTGCTTCGCCGGGGCTTCCCTGGTGACGCCGCACACCGCAGGAAAGCTGAGGGTACCGGCCTCAGAGAGCAGCGCCGTGAGCGAGCTTGCTCAATGCGCCCTGTGTGCGTTTTTTTGCTTCGGGCGTGCACCGGCAGCCGTCACGGCGACATCGTTGTGCGGCCAGCCGCGGGGCACGTGGCCGTGCATCGCGAATTTAAGCTCGGGCGCAGCCCGATCCTAGAGGCTTCTCCAGATTCGAAGGTACCTGCTGGCGCCCCCCATGGCTTCTGATCTGATCATCATCTTTATCATTATCGTCACCATCATCATCATCAGCATCATCCTCCGTCCTCCTCCTCCTCCTCCTCCTCCTCCTTCCTACTCCAACTGCTCCTTCCCCTCTTCCTCCTCCTCCTCCTCCTCCTCCTCCTCCTCCTCCTCAACTGTCCTCCTCCTCCACCCTCTCCTCCCTCCTCCTCCCTACTCCATCCATCTCCCCCTCCCATAATCCCTCCCTCTCCTCTTATAATCCGTGGCGCACAGCCCCGTGTTTATTCCTCGGCCAGGCGGCGGCGGGATAGCCAGCTGCGCGCAGCCGTCTTACGCCCCTCCCCTCTGCTCTGCTGCGACCCCCCCTTTGCCATCCCCAAGCGCCCCTTGACGTGCCTCATATTTGTCCCACATTGGCATCGCCCAAACAATAACTACTACGTGTGCGTTGCCCCCCCCCCCCAGAAAAAAAAGGGGCGACGCGCGCGCAGATAGTATTTATAGTACGTATTCGGTGGCAGGCGCTTTCTGGGCATACCGGCCGGCAACGATATATCATATGGCGTTTGTGCTACATGTTAAGTTCGGACGTGCGCCCCAAACGGGGGTGCTCAGCATCAGTACGTCCTTCCGCGCCCCCACAAACTATCCCCATCCCCACTGGGCTATGGCATCTCAACCCCGCCAGCCCCCCCCCCCCCCCGGGCGGCGACGGGCCCCCGCGAATCCCGCAGGAGACGGCATGGATCTCCGCCTGGGGGGTGAGGTGGCCAGCGGGGCCAGGGCCATGCCAGTGGGGGGTGGGATTGCATAAGCGACGCTCGGTGCCCCCCCCCGTCCTTCCTCGAATAGTCAAGAGGTGTATGAACAGAAACTTTCGGCGGTCCGCGCGGATTTCTTGGGTCGGCACTGGACCCCCCGTGCCAGGCGCGCGGAGCACGCCGGGGGCGGCGCCGGAGGCGCCGCCTGGGGTGCCCAGCGCCGATCCGAGGAATCCTCGCGGAGCTCCGACAGTTTCTGTTTATGCAGGTTTCCCTTCTGCCTGCCGAGGTGGGTACGAGCCCTTCTACCCGGCCTCCAAGGTGCACGCGCCGCTCGAGTTTGACAAGGCCAGGGGTCGGCGCGCGGCCGCGGGCAGGGGCGTCGGGGGCGCGCTGGGGCTCTGGCGGTCCAAGGAGGGGGCGCGCTGGAGCGAAGGCCAGGCTTGGGGGAGCCCGTTGGCTGTCGGTGGAGGACGAGGCAGTGCCGAGCGGGGAGGGGGGCGATGGAAAAGGAATCCATGGAGGAGCAGGAGGAGTGTATCGACGAAGGGGAGGGGGGCTTCGAAGAACAGACGGCGGCATACACATAATTTCTCAAAATATGGATGGACAGCAGGAAAGATTCTCGAGCCGTTTAGAACATTCCCTGCGCAAAGCGACCTGGCCAAACGTTGTCGTTGACATTCAAGGAGTCACTGGGGGCGGCACCACAAGGGATCGTCTGGTCCGTCCCTTCGATCGCGAAGCCCCATCGATGACCGACATTTCCATATTTGGTTATGCGATATCTGACGCAGCGCCTTGTTGTGGATAGGAGGATGATGAAGTGCATTTGGAGACAGCGTTTGATAAGTTTGCCAGGGTCACCTGCGGTGGTGTACCTGGAGAGTTTCAAACCAAGCAACGCAACAAATGGTGGGTATGTCTGTCACCGGCCTGATACAGAATTTCCACATTTTCCGTGTTGAGCAAGGCTATGATACCAACGGTCAATCATTACAGGTCCGTGCGCAGAAATTTGGACTCGGACCCACACTTGGGACAGTGCCAAAAATCCCCATCCGAAGCCGGAGCCCACACGAAAAAATCGGGCGCCTTCTTGCAGGATTTGTTTTGCCTTCAAAACACAAGGCGTCTTACCCCGACTGGTGAAAGAAGAAGATCGCCCTGCTTTCATATCAATTGACACTGGTCCCCGTCTCTCGTGTGCAGTCAAACCAGCTTTCAGACTTTGGACTGACAGCGCTGGGCCACAAGGGTTTCTAGGTCGTACCGACGGATGGTCATTCTATGAAGATGTGCCTGGAAGACCAGGATGGATTGCCCCCGCGGGTCGGACGGTAGACATCGCATTTGAGGTTAAAGTGGATCCAGCAACAAGTGTGTATTTGTATCTCATGTTTGTTGTTACACATGACGCAGATTTTGGAGAAGCGACGTGTTCGCTTGCAGACGGCGCGCAGAACGCGGCGATTAACGGATGGAGCTCAAATCCAAAGTCGTAGCGGTCGATAGCAGCCTCCACGGAGGTATACATTTGTTCCGTTGTTTGAAGATGGGTCAAACATTTAAGATTGTTGGCCTGACAGACTGTAATAGGAAGTGAAGGCGGCTTCCAGAAGGGGTGCTTTGTCAACCGCCCGTCGAGGTCCGTCTCCCAGGAAGTGGTTATGGATAGAATCCCCGCCTCGCAGAGCACCCCGAGCCCTGACATCCGCCCTTATGATGTTGTAACTCCGCGGCCCTGTGGTCGCTTGGAAGGGAGGGGGGGGTTCTGGAACCGGACCCCCCTCCCCCTGGATGGAGGGGGGTGGGGGGGTTCGCCCCCCCCCCTCGCCTACTTCTAATCTCTCCCTCTCCTCGGGCCGGGCCGGCACTTGCGTCGGCGGCGGCTGGCGACGGCGGCGGGGGTGTTCGTGAGAGTGGTAGTGGCGGTGGTGGTGGTGGTGAGGTGGTTTGTGGTTGTTGTGGTGGTGCTGGTGGGTTGTGTTGCTGGTAGTAGTGGTGGTGGTTGTGGCGGCGGTGGTGGTGTCGTAGATTTTGGTGGTGGTGGTGGTGGCAGTGGTGGTGGGTTGTTGTATTGGTGGTGGTGGTGGTGGTGAGCTGTTGTGGTGGTGGTGGTGGTGGCTGTGGTGGTGGTGGTTGTGTGGTGGTTTGGTGGTGGTGGTGGTTGTGGTGGTGGTGGGTTGAGGTGGTGATGGTGGTAGTCGTGGTGGTGGCGGTGGTGGTGGTGGTGGCGCGGTGGTTTGTGGTGTTGGTGGTGGGCTGTGGTGGCGGCGGTGGTGCTGCTGCTGCTGGTAGTGGTGCTGGTGGTGGTGGTGGGTGGTGGGTTGTGGGTGGTGGTGGTGGTGGTTGTGGTGGTGGTGTGGTGGTTGGTTGTGGTGTTGGTGGTGGTTGGTGGTGACGGTTTGTGGTGGTGGCGGTGGTGGTGATGGTGGTGGTAATGGTGTGGTGGTTTGTGGTGGTGGTGGTTGTGGTGGGTTGTGGTGGGTTGTTGTGGTGGTGGTGGTGGTAGCGTTTTTGGTGGTGGTGGTGGTGGTGGTGGTGGTGGTGGTGAGGTGGCCTGTGTTGATGTTGGTGGTTGTGGTGGTGGTGGGTTGTGGTGGTTGTGGTGGTTGTGGTTGTGGCGGTGGTGGTGGTATGGTGGTTTGTGGTGGTGGTGGTGGTGGTGTGGCCGTCGGCTCTTTCCGCCGTTGTGTTTTGGCTTTATGGATGCTTCTTGAGGTCTCGTCAGAACGGGGGCGTCTGAGGAGCATGCGAGGGCTCGATATGGCGACTTGTGTGTTCCTCTGCCGCCTCTGGGCCCTCTCTGGTCATCGTCGCTGCGTCCCCGCCGTCGGCGCTGCTGGCCGCCGCCAGCGCCAGCGCCGGCGCCGGCGCGAGGGGGGGTGGTTGTGACCCCCCCCCCTCTCCTGGGCCCTCTCTGGTCATCGTCGCTGCTTTCCCGCAGTCGGCCCTGTGATGGTCGCCAGCGCTGGCGCCGGCGGCGCTGGCGCTGGGGGTGAGGGGAGGGGTTTGGAATCCCCCCCCCTTGGGAGGAGGGAGGGGTTCGGGAGGGGGGGGGGTAGAGGGTGGAGGGAAGTCCCCTTGGTTCTGATCGACGGCGCCGAGTGTTGGTGGGGGGGGGTGGCCCACCCCTCGGTTCGAAACGCGCCGCCGAATGTTCCCAAGGCAAGCGCCCGTGAAACGCGCTCTTTCGGAGGTACAGAGCTCTTCCCCGGGATCCCTTTTAGGTATCCCCGGGGCGCAAGAACGGGCCCTGGGTGCCCACATTGAGGAAAAATTGCCAGCTGAAAAATCTCAGGAGGGGAAAACACACACACAGACACAATTAATCGTCGATCCCCAGGAAAATGTGCGGAAATATGGGAAGTGGGGGGGAGGACAACACCTCAGAAAATATGGGAAGATATAGGGCATATCTTTATTTGTGTCTATTGATTTGTGTGTTCTGGGGCCCCTTTCAAATCGTCGGAGAGCTGGGTCCGCCCCTTCGGTCCCGTCCGCCCCGAGCGCCGCCGCGGCGCCTCCCTGCCAGACCTGCTGGGGCCACGTCAGCAGCGAGTGCGCCTCCTTCGTCTCCGGCCTCCTGAGGCCGCCCCTGGGGCGGGCGCCCGCGGCGGCGGCTCGCCCGCAGCGGGCGGGGCCTCTGGCCGTGCTCCTGGCGTGGCATCGCTCGGACGTGTGCACTTTCTCTCGGCGAGAACCATCGAGGACGAGCAAAAAAAAAACGCACGAAGCCGAAACATGCAAGGGAAATGGACGTCCGAGCGACAGCAAGCTGGGGGCTACGGGTTACCAGCAGGAGGGTCACCAGAAGTCTGGGGGGGAAAGGTACCGTGAGCGCTGTTCGTCCTGGAGGGCCCGCGTCTCCACGGCCAGATTCTGTTCCATGTCCTGGTAAGAAGGCACCCCGGGGGAAATTCCGGGGAGTAATGGCATCGGTCCCCGTATTTGGTTGGTTTCCCCAAGACGGGGTGTTTGGACGGAGTGTCGGAGGGAGGATCGAGGATCGAGGAGGTTCTGGATGCTTCTGGGCGCCTCTTGGGATCCTGGGGGATCCAGGGGGGTCCGTTTCCTGGAGGACTGGGAGAGGAAGGCAGGCTGAGAATCCGACCGAGGATAAATCCCACACGTCCAATGCCTTGAACAAATCAAGACATTTTTCGTCGCTTTCGGCCTTCGGTGGCCCCCGCAGGGTCCCAGGACCACCAAAAACGGCTCAGGATGAAAAGCCGGCCGTGGGGACAGGGCCGGGACTTCACTTCGAGATGAGGGCAGGGTTTGTTTCGATCCGATCGATCCCGGTCGATGTGGATTCTCTCAGTCCGCTTCGATTCTGGTTTCCCGACGACCCCCTGTGGCCTGATGTTCGCATGGCGTCCTTGTGCATCTTGGCGCGGCCGATCCGATTCGATTCCAATTCTTGACGCTTCGCGTAACCCCACCAGTTTTTCCCGTACCGTGACCCGGACGCCGCTTCCGCTCCCTGTCCGTTGCCTTGGAGCCGCTGACCCCAAAAAAGGAACCCCACCAGCCCATCCAGAGACGATGCCCAGAGGAGTTGCCTCGATCAGGGAAGTGGGCAGCACACAGAGGAAGGGTCACTCTTGGAGCGCTCTTGGAGGCCTCTTGGGCGCCTCTTGGGGCCTCCTGGGCCCCGGGCGCCTCTTGGGGCCCTTTTGAGGCGCTCTTGGGAGCCTTGGGAGCGCTCTTGGGGCCATCTTGGAGGAGATCGATCAATAATGATGGGAGCTCAAATTACTGTAGGGCCCCTTCTCGGGAGCCCCAAAAATCACCTCTTGGGCCCCTCTTGGGGCGCTCTTGAAGCGCTCTTGGGCGATCTTTTGGCCGTCTTGGGGCTCGCTTGGGCCTCTCTTGGGGCCCTCATGGGCCCTCTTGGAGCTGCCTTGACGCCTCGGAAAACCATCGGAAGGATGTTGGCCTCTTAGCGGCCTCTCGGGGAGGCTCCGTGGCCACTTGGGGCCGTCTTGTAGCGTTCTTAGGGCCTCTTGGAGCATTTGGGGAGCCATCTTGGGGCATCTTGGGTTATCTTGGGCCATCTTGGAGGTCATCTTGGGCTCTCTGAGGCCCTACTAGCGCCATCTTGGGCCATTTTGGACGCACCAACGACCCGCGACACTCCTCCTCCAGGTCCAGGGGAGGGGGTAGGGGGAGGGTCAAGACACCCCGTAGATAGCAGGTCGTCTAGCTCACTCCCACCCGCCCTCCCAACACACAAGTAAAACCCGAGCCTGAGCATGTTCAGCGGTCGTCTTTGGATGGACAGCTACTGGGAACCAAAACCGACCTCATGTGCACGACGCTGGGGTGAGGTGCGCCACGCGTGGTAGCCTCGCTACGCGCGCCAGGCACCCCTGGGGCTCGAGCGTGCCAGGCACGCCTGGAGCGCCAGATGCGGCACGTGCTCCGCGTGCGCCAGGTGTGCCGCATACTCAGCCGCGCCAGGTGCGCCACGTTCGGTGCACGTGCAGAGTGTGTCAGGTGCGCCTGCGCACGTGACAGCACACATCGGGAAACAAGTCGGCCTCAACCATCCTTGCCGAAATCAATGCCCACCATTGTGTCTGGTGGGCCTGCGCACAGCAGGCCATACGCCACCACCCCCGTCGTCCCTGACAAAAACTACTTGACAGTGATCGCGGGGTGGCCGCGCATTATCCAGATTTAGCCGCGAGGTGCACGTGTACTGTCTTTTGTTAGGGATGGTAGTCTTGCGCGCAAGAGGCAATATGCTGACACCCCCGCCGTCCGCGCCAAAAACCATACAAAGTGCCTGCGGGCCTCACGAACATGACTCAAGATTTTGCCCCAAAGTGTACTTTGTATTTTTTTGGCAGGGATGGTGGGGGGGGATGATCACGGTTCCTGGTTGACCGCTGGTCGTCTGGGGGAGGGTGTGCATATGAATAGGGAACAGTGATGAACCCCTCCCCGAAGAGGAAGAAGGAGGCTGGAAGAGAAAGCTCGCTAGACCACCTACGTCACAGGGCTGGTGGGATTCCATACCGGTTGGGCCCGATCCGACGCACATGCCGATTCGATCCGGTTCCACAATTTGACGTTGACCGAACCCGGGATGAGGTTAGATTTGGATGGGGATACATGGGGAATCTGTGAGAGTTGGCGGGTCTGGTGGCTATCCGGCGCCTCGCCCGTTTCAGAGCGCTCCGGCGCTCTCTGAGAGCGCTCCGGCATCTTTCTGGAGCGGTCTGTGTTTGTCTTGCTTGGGTCTGCCTGCCAGAGGAGGGGCGCAGCCTCGAAGCACGAGCAGCTGCTCCCAGGGGAAGGGAAGGGCCGAGAGTTCGGGAGGGGGCCGGCGCCGCGACAGCAGCAGGAGCATGCGGGAGGCTGGCCGGGGCGCGTGCTGTTGATGGATCACAAGGCCCCAAGCAAATCATCGTCAAGCAGTGGCGAAGCGTCCTAGCTCCCCTATATCAAGCAGTGGCCAAGCGTTCCGGCTCGCCTATAGCCCCTCCAAACAATGTTCTAAGGACCTTGTGTGGTTTCCACGAGGTATTCTTAGAACGTTTCTGGCTGGGGCTGTCTTGTTTTGACACATCGGGTTTATGTCCTAAGAACCGCGTCTTTGTTCTTAGGACATGTTTGGGTTCTGAGAACATGTCGTGGTAGGACTACTGGAATGCTGGGACGGTTGGTCAAACGACGCGAAGATCGGGACAAAATCGGATCGGGATAACTCGAAATCTCTGAGAATCGGCCGGTTTGGAGGATGTAATGGGCGCCGCGGCCGCTCCAGAGCGTTCCGGAACGCTCCGAGAGCGCTCCGGAACGCTCTGGAGCGATTTATCCCGATCCTAGCCCTGTTGTAGTTGGTCCCTGCTCAACATCGGAGGCGCTACCAGCGCGGCCACCGACGGTCCGAACGTGGAGCTCCGGGGCGTCGGCCTTGTTGGGGGCGGCGGCAGGGGGGCCAGGGGCGGCTCGTGGGAGCGAGCGGGAGCTCCAGAGAAGCAGCTCGACGGGTGCCCCCTTCCCTAGGCAGAGGGGGTTGCACGGCAGGCCTGGGGGCACCGTGTGAGCAGCGCGAGCAGCGGCGTCACCCCAAGATTACTCATACTATAATATGCGCGTCGCCCCCCCCCGGGGCGACGCGCGCGCCGAGAAGTCTTATGGTCTGTGCGTCGTGGCGGGCGCGTTCTGACCACAGAACCTTGTGTGGCGTGCGCGACATTAGGGGGCCGCATGTGCAACATACCCCTCCCCCCCAGAAATCGTGGTCGGTAGGGGTATGTTGCACAATGCACAGACTGCCGAGCCGCGGGCGCGGGTGCATCACCTGGGACGGCATTTGCCTCTGTCCTGCGACGCGTCCGTGCAAGACGATCGGCCTGGGCAGCCTGTGCAGCCTTGGCCTCGCGAGCAGCGTCAGCGGCTTTGCTGAAGAGCTCATTGACCATCCCTTGGCATTGAGCAGACCGTGCATTACGGCGATTGTCGATTTCGGAGCGATCGTCGGGTGACGAATTCTCTTCGAAAGTGAATGCAGTACTGACGTCGACGCTGAACGCCTCGACCTTGCGTGCAGGCAGAGGCTCCAGACTGATCGTGGGCGCAGAAGGCTCCACGGCAGCTGTTAGCACTTGAGTGCTCGTGTTGGTCAGTTTCTGAGCCCGTTCGTTGTAGCTCGTATCCAACTGCAGCAGCTCTTGAGACACCTGGGACACGAGGGCCTTCTGCGCTGTGAGCTGGCTCTCGAGGGTGGCAACTCCCTCGATCTCCTTCTCCATGCGATGACCGTGATTGACCCGCTCCCTCTGACAGCGAGCCATTTGGTCTTCCAACGCAACTGGTACAGCAGCACGACGTAACTGAGCCAAGTGAAAGCGGCACCGACACGCTTCCGTGATGTTGCCGATCTTCTCGTACAGGTCAATTGAAGGACTCCAGCGCCTGAGCCGAAAGCCCAGCCAATTGCCGCTGACGAGGAGGTTGGGGCCCTTGGAGACCAGGCACGCGAGCTGCATCTTCTTGTGGCTGCCTGAGAAGGGAGGCGCCAGACCTGCTTGACCACTCCGACCACTGAGACTGATTGACATCAACCTCGGTGGTGCCGCAGTGCCTACAGACGAAGTGCCGAGGGGGATTGTGGCGGCAGCCGCACGTGGAGCAGGTCCACTTCCTGCCTGGCAGAGGAGCGCCACAGTCAGGACGAGCATGTTGGGGACCAGATGCTAACGATGGCCACGACTCACGCACTCCCCGGGGGCGGACTCCATTTGGCATGCCACGGCCGCCAGGACGTCTTGTCTTCCTTGCCTCCAGGGCCGCCGCCCCCAGCCATGGTCTCGCCGCGAGTGCGTGATGGTGGCAGCTGCTCCAGAGGAGAACGTGAGAGAGACGGAGGGTTGCTTGGCATCGCTCGGACGTGTGCATTTTTTCCTCGGCGAGGACCATGGAGGAGCATCCTAGATGACTTCGCGGATAAAGCGCGCACGAAATCTAACAATACACGAGGAATGGACGTCCGAGCGATGGCAAGGTTGAGATCCTTCAGGCTGAAGCCGAAGGATGCGCCGGTGCAGGGCGCAGGCAGGGCGCCCGAGCCAGGACGTCGCCAGCCAGGAAGCGAAGGCGCGGGCGCGGGGGAGGAAGGGGGCGGAGCACGCCCAGGGCGTGGAGTCCTTGAACGTGTGTGCCGGACGGTGGGTGGACAAAAGGTGTCCACACCCATCGCGCCAATATGATGCGACATCGAACTGCGTCGAACAATTATCCATCGCCCCCGCCCCCCCCTCAACCCAAAGTTGACGGGGTTGGGTGCGAGGCAACGCGCGGGGGACAAAATATGGACGCTTCAACTTTGGGTTTTGGGGGTGAGGGGGGGCTAGCCACATGTACTGCAGATTTCGTAATAAAAGGGAGGGGGTCTGGCCCCCCGTGGGAGAACCCTCCAAAACATCGTCCCCAGACCCCCCCAGGCCCTCCAAGATAGCCTGGAAGAGACCCCCCCCGAAATGAGACCCCCTCCCTTTATTACGAAATCTGGAGTATATTGCAATCGTCGTTGCCATCACCCGATTGTCTTCACGCCGTCGGCGTGGACACCTTTTGCCCGGGCGCCGGAGCACGGCGTGTGCACAGTGGTAACCAGGCTGTGAAAGAAGCCCCGGGAGGCGAGCAGCAGCACTCGAATCCAGGGGCCACGATCTCGGGAGCCGTGTTGCCAGAGGTAACGCACAGGAGGTACTCCAGATTTCGTAATAAAGGGAGGGGGGTCTCATTTCGGGGGGGTCTCTTCCAGGCTATCTTGGAGGGCCTGGGGGGGTCTGGGGACGATGTGTTGGAGGGTTCTCCCACGGGGGGGGGGTCTGAAATGGCTTGTCTTGGAGGGTCCAGACCCCCTCCCTTTTATTACGAGATCTGGTGTAGCGAGTGATAGAAAGGTCAGTACACATTGTTCATTTCTAATTCTTTGAGAGTTCTCTGATTTTTTGGGGGGGCCAAGATCCCGTCATCTCTGATTCTTCTGTCCTGGGCCTCTTCCTGGCCACTGGGGGGCCAGGAACAGTTAGACACGAGCACGATTAGAAACGAGCACGATTAGAAATGAACGACGTGCAAAGCCCTGGGGTTATGATTTTCCAACCTACTCTAGCCTTGACCACCAGAAAGAATTTCGAGCGCCAGAAAAAAGTGCCGAAACTCGAGGGTTTTCACGTGTCGGGCCCTGGGGGACACTCGCCCGACGCTGTTTCGGCACTGTTCCGACACTCTTTGGACACTTCTCCGGGTGATCGAAACTATTTCTGGGATGTGGTCGTGGTCCTTCAGCAGGATGGGAACAAGAGAGCCCTGGGGCCCAACCCGAACCAGTTTCGGCGACCGACCGCATCGCGGGGGCGCGACCTGGCCAGGACCTTCCGAGAGGGAGGAGCCCGTCCGTGGCCGCCGGAGGCTGCCGGGTTCTCTCGCCCTGTGCGGGCCGGGGCCGGGCAGAGACGGCGCGGGCCTCGCCCGTGCGCAGACCACGTCTGGTGGGCCCCTGTTTTCCACCACCACCACAAGTTGGAGGGGGGCAGGAAGAGGACGAGGAGGAGGACGAGGAGGAGGAGGACGAGGGGGAGGTGGAGGATGAGGATGAGGATGAGGATGAAGAGGACGAGGAGGAGGACGAAGAGGAGGAGGGGAAGGTGGAGGAGGAGGAGGATGAGGAGGAGGAGGAGGTTGAGGAGGAGGTGGAGGAGGAGGAGGAGGATTGCCCCCTTCCCCTCCAACTTATGGTGGTCGTCGTGGAAGACAGGCCCGTCAACGTCGCACGACGCAACGGCTCAGCAGGGGAAAATGTGCACGCCGCGCAGGAGGAGCGGCAGTGCGAGATCACACCGAAGCGTCGATCGGGCCAGTGGAAAAGCAAGATGGTCTGACCAGCTGGTCGCAGGCGGAGAGACGGCTTCGGGCCCCCCCGGAATGGTGCCCAAAGACGGCCCAGGAGGCGCCCAAGAAGAGGAGGAGGAGGAGGAAAAGGAGGAGGAGGAGGAAAAGGAGGAGGAAAAGGAGGAGGAATAGGAGGAGGAGGAGGAGGGGGAGGAGCAGGAGGAGGAGGAGGAGGGGGAGGAGCAGGAGGAGGAGGACCCCAGGACGGCCCAATGGGGGCCTCAGGATGGCCCAAGGGGAGCCCCGAGAGGCTCCCAAGACAGACCTCCAAGAGGGCCAGCGGAGGCCCCCCCGAGAGGGGGCCCGAGAGAGGCGCCCCAGGGACGGCTGGAGGCCCCCAAAGACTGCGGGCAGATGCGCAGCTCGCAGCCCCCCGGGCAGGAGGCCACATGCGAAGCCCACCCCACCACCCCACGATTTCTAGGTCGAGGGCGTAAAAAAACGCCGCTACCCTGGTTTATGAGGCGCTGTGCGCTGAACCTCCCGTGGGCTGACAGGGCAAGCCCTGCGTATCGTTCGTGCCGCGCGGCGTCCCGGCGGCTCTCTGGCCTGTGGGAGTTCACAGGAAGTTTATTGACCACGGACTTGTAACCCAGGGTAGGGGCGTGTTTTCATTCCTCAACTAAGGGGAGGTGGGGCAGGGTTCGCATGTGGCCTCCTATCAGAGACGGCGAGGTATCCTTCTTGATCCACGCGGGGCGCCACTCCGCTGGACCTCCCAGGAACCGACCAGCGTGGCGACGGTGTCGTACAGTGGAGGCCCATGCCAAGACACCCTGCTCGCCTCCAGGGTGCCCTGGGTTTCTTGGGTTTCGATGGTTTTGCTGTGGAAAGCTCGACGCTCCCACACCAAAGATCCATGGACGTCCTGGGGTCTCAGGGTTGGATTTCTTGTGGAAGGTTTCTTGTGGACTGGCATCCACTGTAGTCCGCAGTTCCCCAAGGGCGGCGAGATCTCATTCTGATGCGTGTGGGTCTCCGCTCCGCTGGACCTCCCAGTAGCCGACGAGCGCGGAGACGGTTTCGTAGTCCGCAGCCGCCCTGGGGACGGCGGGGCCTCATTCTGACCCGCGTGGTGCGCCACTTCGCTGGTCCTCCCAGGAGCCGACAAGCGTGGCGACGGCTTCGTAGTCTTCAGTCCCCCAAGGACGGCGAGGTCTCATTCTGGTCCGTGTGGGTCACTACTCCGCTGGACCTCCCAGGAGCCGACCAGCGTGGAGACGGTTGCGCAGTCCGCAGCCGCCCCGGGGACGGCGAAGTCTCATTCTGATCCGCGTGGTGCGCCACTCCGCTGGTCCTCCCGGGAGCCGACGAGCGTGGCGACAGTTTCACGGTTCGCAGATACACAGGCAGCGTGGGCAGGATGCAGGAGAGAATCGATGAGGCAGGGAGGAGGTAGGGAGGAGGCAGGGAGAAGGCAGGGAGAAGGAGGAGGAGGAGGAGGAGGAGGAGGAGGAGGAGGGTAGAGAGGAGAGGAGGGGCATACAGCATGAGGAGGGAGGCGGGAGGAGGAGATTCGCGAGTAGCGCTCGATTCAAAACCAGGACCCAACCACAGGAGGGTTGGGACATGATACACCAGCTTGCTGACAGGCGCCCCGCGGAAGTGCCGTATACCCACAGAGGCCTTGGGGCACCTCGGGAAACCAGAAGTCGTCGACGACCGTGCCCCTAGATGTCTCACACGAAGGTGTCTGATCGTATGTGTTTACTGCACGGCAAGAGCCTGAACGCTTCGATCCCCGTCGGCGACGACGGCGACGGCGGCGACGGCGACGTTGACGACGGCGGCGGCGGTGAGAAGCACTGGAGGCACCCACCGCGCCCAGCCGCCGCCTGCCCCGCAGGACGGACCCGAAGCTGCGCACCACGGCCGAGGCGGCCACGCAGGAAGCACCCTCCGCGCCGCCGCCGACGGCCCGACTCCAGGGCTGGACCTAAACGGAGTTCTGGCGATTTGCGTGGGCCGTTTTCGTTTCGCGTTCGTTTTGCGGTAAGGGCGAATCGAAGACAAAACCATGGGAAAACGAAAGCAAATCGAAAACGAAAAAAACACCGTTTAGGTTCAGCCCTGTCCGACTCCATGCGAATCGATTCGCCGGCGTGGGCCGCGATTCCGATCGGATTCGAATCGGCTTGGCTCACCGGTGTCGGCCAGGGCCAGCGCGAGAGCCGGGCGCGGCGGCCCGGTTTCGAGGCGACTTCGGGGCGGTTCGGGTTGGCGATCCGATGTTGTGATTCGATCCAGCTCGGGCCTGCCAGGGTCGTCGTCCGTCGACGTCGTTGTCGATCCAGGGCGGCGAGACAGAGAGGGGACTGGCCTTCAGTCGGGCCTGTCCCTCCATCGTCCGCCGACGTCGTCGTCGATCAGGGGCGGCGAGACAGAGAGGGGACCGGCCTGGAGTCGGGCCTGTCCCTCTACAGGAGGAAAATTCAACAGTAGTCTAAAAATAATCAGGGGACGATTTGTTTAAAGCATTTTTTGGCCATGATTGGGGTATCCTGTGATTATTTCTACTCCAGATTTCGTAATAAAAGGGAGGGGGTCTGGACCCTCCAAGACAAGCCATTTCAGACCCCCCCCGTGGGAGAACCCTCCAAAACATCGTCCCCAGACCCCCCCAAGCCCTCCAAGATAGCCTGGAAGAGACCCCCCCCCGAAATGAGACCCCCCTCCCTTTATTACGAGATCTGGAGTAATCTTTCCTCGAAAGTCCCCCTTCTAGGGGGACAGGCCCGGCTGGAGACTGGCCCAGGGCTGGAGAGCATTGACGGCCCCCCGTCGCCCACGCTCTGCCGCGATCGGAGCCCGCGCCCCCCCCCCATTCCAGGAGGAGGAGGAGGAGGAGGAGGAGGAGGAGGAGGAGGACCAGCGCATCTGACTGAGTGGGTTCTTGTCTGGGCGGCTAGCTGCCGCTGCTGCTGCTGCTTGAAATTCCCAACGAACGTTGCGCCTCTCGAATCATCATGTCAAGAGGAATGGGAGCAGCAAATACGATGGGGCCTTGCATGCCATCCTTGGGATGTCTGCACGACCTGAAACAGCGGATGTCCGTTTTCTTGTTATTAGATTGGGGCTCTTTGAGGCACTCTTTCTGGAAACCTCTGGCCATGAATTCAGAATAGACTCCACAATTCCAGCAGGCCATAACGCAACTCTCATTCTCGAGGCGGTCGAATATATATATATATATATATATATATATAGTATGGCCATTACGGTTGAGGGAAAAGTGAGAGAGGCTCGGGCAGGTGCTTGGGCACCTCTCTTGTTGGCGACGGGTCTTGGCTTCTATTGTTAAAGCTCGCGTGCGACACAGCTCGCACATCCATCTACCTTTTAGCCAGACCCACTTGTGGTGCTGCCCTGGTTCTCTCGGACCACGGGAGGCTCCAGCAGCGGCCCCAGGACCCTCGGGGGGAGGGGGAGGCGGAGGCGGAGCAGGGGCAATTAGGGCAGCACCCACAGGGGGCTTTGCAGCTGGCTTGGAAACAGGTTTCCCTCATGCTTTTCCCCCTGGCTTCGGCGCAATGGCGGGCCAGGTGAGGATGGCTTGTGAGACGAAACGCAGGAAACGCCTGATGAAGGCCTGATCGGCCTGGTATTGATCAATTTCGGCTTCCGAGGGGCCCCCGAGCTTCTTCGCGGCCGCTTTGGCGAGCCTGTCGGCAGCGTCGTTCCCGAGGGCCAGAAACTTATCTCGGGAACCTTCTGGGAGGCTGTCTAAATCCAGGTGCGCTTTTACTTTACAAACTTGGGGGAGGGCACCACCAGTGTGTTTACCTTTGGCAACAAGCTCCAGCCCTGAGTACATATTCTTTCTATCAAAGCCTGCTTGACTGTACTTCCTAATGGTTCCTAAGTGGTATGAGTGGACATGGGTGATGTCAGGATACCTGTGGCTGATGGCAAGGGCAAGATGCTCGGCTGCTCCTGATGTGGGCGGCAGAGCGGCTCCTGTCTGTCCAGACAGGTGAGCCTTGCAGTCACCAGCTTCGTCCATCACAGCTACTGACCAGCCCGTTTTGTGCCAAACGGCAGGACCTTGCTTATAGCAGGATCCGTCGACAAAGGCCTCGCCAGACACGGCTTCTATAAGCGGGTCTCCATTTTTGGACCAGAACTCAAAGGCAAAGCCGACCCCCGAGGGCCTTATAAACACGGGGTCGGGAAGGTATTGGAAACCATGGGCTAGTGGAGCTTCACTGGGGCACCCTCGAAGATATTCTAGATCGGGGGCCTCTAAGATGTCACTTTTCATGTCATCGACGAGCTGGCAGTTGAAACGGTGATGCATGGCATCTGTCCGGTGTCCGCATTCGCATTCCTGGTCGATCTCATAACCTGCTGCAGCCAAGCGGGACCTTGTCCAGAGAAATTGGGTGAGGTAGGCCAGGAGGCAGCCCCTCTGGGGCTTTGTGAGATTCGGGTCGTCCAGGACAGCTTTTGCGGCCGAGCAAACCAGACGGTCCTGAGGATGTCCCATTTTGGCTGCTGCTTTAAACTCGAGCTGCGCCTTCCAGGCGTCCTCCAGGTGGTACTTGAGGAGGGCTGGCGGGGTCACGGTGAGCTGGATGATTAGGCCTTGGCTCGTCTCTATCTCGAACGGGTTGAGGAGCTTCCAACCTATCCTCTTGAGGCTCAGCAGGGCAGCCCCCATGGGCCCTCGGCAGGCACTCCAGCTTTTGGGAGGGTTGCCCAAGATTCTGTTCACCTTCTGTTTCAATTCACCGTGATCGTACTTTAGCAAGCCTGGTTGGGCCGAAATCCTCCATACCAGAAGACTGTAGTAGATGATGGGCCCCAAGGCGGCCTTCCAGGTGGGGTCTCCCAGCAGGCACAGGCTCAGGACTCGGGATCTCGTTGGGCTTCTGGGGCCAACGTTGCCGAGGTAGAAGTTCTGGCTCTGGGCGAGTTCTGAATCGGTCAGGCCTACCACTTCGCTTCCGTAATGGTTGGCCTGGTCAAGGCCTGTGTTGTACATCTTACGCATGTCAGCCCCGGCCTTTTTGATAGCCTGGAGCCACGGCCGCTGCGGACACGACCTCCAGCCGTGTAGTCTATACCGAGATTGGCGGCGGCGTCGACTTGCTCCAAAGCCTGAGGTCCTGCCAGTGAGCCGAGGGCCTTGACCAGGGGCTCCCGAACCTTTAAGGGGGAGGCTAGGACGGCTGACTTGTGGAGGGCAATGTTGCTATCTAGGTCCTCCTCTATGGTGTCCTTCATACTCTTTGAGGCTCTTGCAAGGGTCTTGGTCAGGGTCTTGGGGCAGTTACCCTGGGCCTGTAAGATTATGTCATCTATAAACATGTGGAGGCTAGTAGCTATGTTGTCCTGGACCCAGACACCGAGCGGCACAATGCAGTACATCTGTATAGCGTAAGTGGCGAAGCTGCAGCTTGCGGGTACTCCGTACTGCGGGCTGCCAACGAAGATTGCTTGCGACCTGTTGGCTACGAGACGGGGCGATCCATGCTGGTTGGCGATCAAGACTGCCACAGCTTGATTGAAACCTGTGCCAACCGCTCTGGGAAACCATGTGTCCCGATTGATGTGTTCGTAGTAATTTGAGAGGTCCCAGAGCACCGCAGCAGTGAACCTGGAAACACCTTCATAGTGGGCCGATTCCGCCTCGAGGGCCTGCAGGAAAACGGTATCTAAGATTCCTCGTCCCCCCTGGCGGGCCATATATGGCCTCTTGGTTTGAAACTCCCATCGTCGAGCTGATGGCTGCCTTATCTTGGCCCAGAGTCTCCAGATCGAACTCATCAACCCTATTCCTCCGTTGCTGGGCTTGTCTTTGGAACCCTCCTGCTGCTTGTGCTTTGGGATGATCATGGTGGCGGTCGCGCGCGCCTGCGAGGGCAGGGGGCCGACCGCCTCGAACGCGTGCATGAAGCGGGCCACGAGCCCGAGCTCGGTGTCACCTAAGAGCGCATAGTGCTTGGGATGAAAGCCGTCGTAGGTGGAGGCCGCGTTATGGCTAAATCGCATTGCCGCTGCTAGTATCATGTCGACAGTGATGGGCTCCAGTTCGGCTAGGGCTTCAGGGCTGGGTCTGCGATATTTATGTTCCTGCTCTTTAGGGGTAGTCTCCCAGATGTCCGAGAGACGTTCGGCTTCGGCGTTGAGCAAATCATGCGGCCTTCCTGACCGCCTTCCGATCGAGGCTTCCCAGACTTGCTGCGGCTTCCAACTGCTGAAATCTTTGGTCCATCTATGGCCCCATCCCACTCCGTGCTGCGTGCGTGTCTTGACCCATTCGGCCCAGTTTTTCTCGTCGGTCGATCGGTCGCAGTGCATTTCTCGATCTAAGGCTTCATCGATGTCGTCGAAGAGCTTATCGAACAGTTCCTTCGCTATTGCGGTATTTAGGGCGTCGCTACGGATGCCGACTAGGGCCGTTTGTTGGGCTGCCTGAACTGTTTGACGAAGGGCTCCCAACTCGTCAATTTCACCAAATAAAGGTGGGGCCGAACCAAGGTCCTCCAAGACAACTTGAAAATCAGATTCTAGATAACATGCTTGGGCTAAGGCACGCCGTGCGTCAGTAATCTTGCTCTTCAGCCAGCGGAGAGGGCCCGCAAGAGAGCGCCAGCTGCGACGGCGAGCTCGCTCCGCTGCACATGCGGGAACCCATCGGAGCTGAGGTCCTTGACCTCGTAGGCGCTGGCTGCGGAGAGGCGTGCCAGTGACCTTGCTCAAAAAAACTCGTTAAGTCACTGGCCAGGATCTCGCAGGTCTGCTCCAAGGCCCCGCCCAGGGCCCCGTAGTCTGACTTCTGCCCCAAGAAGGCTTCCATTTGGTCCAGGGCCGCTTCTGTTCGGATCCATGGAGTTGCTTGCGCAATGAGTCCCACAGGCAACTTCGTTGGGATCTTCTGGGGCTT